AAGGGATTTGTACTTGAAGATACTCCAGTCAGCAGAGGATCATGTTGAGCATTCTGCAGACAGAATTGTTTCAAGTCTGCAGCTGCCTGGGAAACCTATACATAACAGAAAGCGGGAAAGTGCCAGGTGGTGAGGTTTTAATGAAGGTTTTCACAAATCTTTGGAAATACTGTACTTGAAATAAACAGCACTTCTCTTGCTTCAAAAGAAAATATTATATACGAATTAAAGACTAGTCTTATGCTGAGCTCTTATACTTAAAAACACTGCTTTAAAATAAGACTGTTTTATGTTTTCTTTTGCTTATTTGAAGCATCAAATGATTCAGTACAACTATGTTTGCTTGCAAAGCACATCTTCCTTATTAATAATAGGCTGTTCAGGTGTAAACCTGAGGGTACTTAACATCGTCTTTTTATTAAAAACAATACATAGTATTAGATGTTAAACAAAAAGAGCATTAACATTCCAGCAAACTGTTACTTTGTCTTGAAAGCAGTATTACTGGAAGAATGCTACTGTGAATGAACATAATGTGGGATAACTAGCATATAATTTAGAAAAACAAACTGTATATGAATGCATTCAGTATACTGTTCTTCAAATTTGTAGACTCTTATGCTCCTTTGCATTTAAACTAAAACTGATTAAAAGCGGCATATCATTCATTCAGTTACACATCTACTATTTGTATGTATTCTGGTAAGGTGATATAGGATATAAATAACTGTAAAGCCACAGATGTTCCTTAAGTCCCATTTGGGGTAGCATTGCACACATATATGAACATTGTTCAGTCACATTTAGGGCAAATATAGTTTCTCTCAAAAGCAGGCTGCTCAGAAAAGTTGTTAAACTTGGAAGTTTGCCATCAGTCTTTCAGTCACATGACGCTGTGCAGAAAGCTGTCACTGTCAACAGTTTTATAATATTAAACAGCTGATGGTACACTATTATAAAAACAATGAATGGTTCAGATGTAGAACATGAATGGCTAAAAGATGCATCCAATATCCTAAGTCTTAAATTGAGGTTTTGGAAAATAAGAGAAATAATCATTTATTTTATTCTCAGTCTTAACTATCCCCCAGGAGGGTAAGAGCAGATGTCTAGTCCAGCTGGATATGTGGCCTTTGAAAGGAAATTAAAATGCTCTCTATCCCAAAAACCCCTGCAGATTACAGCTGTACCCCAGACCTGATAAAAATAATTCCTCATACTGAGATGAATCTAAACTCTTCTCAAATCTATTTGGTGTTTGGCTGACACAATAACCCAGGTTAATGAATTCCATAGATTAACTAAATCCTTGACAAAGAAGTACTTTTTAAATCATGGTACCTAGTACTTTTACAAATGACTATGCCCTCCTTGTCCCCTCCCCTCAAAAAACAAGTGTAGATAATGTAGGGGAATGAGTAGTATCATTTTTCATAATGTTGAAGTTATTTGTTTTCATTCACATTAACCATCAGGAAACACACACTGTTAATTTTCTGTCTAAAGTATAGGTAGGATCCAACTAACTCCTTTTCACAAATTTCTCAAGCACCATTTTGAGCCCAATATACTTCTAGGCACTGAGAATACATAAGTAAGAACAATCTTGCTGTTAATGGAGCTGACAGTTCTGGGGAAAAGACAGACAGGGTGCTCTGTAGTAAAAAGAGTGATTTGTTAGTGATTGGGTGACCACAATAAGGGTAGGTGTCTGAGGTGACATTTAAGCTGAGATTTCAATGACAAGAGATCCAGCCAAATAACCATCAGTGAGAAACAGCATTCCAAGAAGTGGGGAAAGCTGAGACAAAGACTAAAACTGGAACAAGCTGCTAGTCCCCAAGATACTGTAATAACTGCCCAGGAGGTTGAAACCTTGCAATGCTGGCATAATTAGTGCCCCTTTTCATTCTCAAGTGTCCTGACCTACCTATGGGAGAGTCTGTCAAGCATTTGTGATAATTCTTATCAACTCTATTCAAACATAAAGGTTAAAATATAGTAAGTTCATGCTAGTTTGAAAATATCATCAATAAACACCTAGCACAGAGTCATAGATAAAATAACATGGACAAAGTGACATGGAACCTATCCACATTTAACAACATATCTAAAGAAAAGCTCATTTAAAATCCCAAAGAGATGCCCTCCCCTCCTTGCTACATCAGGCACACATGAACTCCAATACCAAATTGTGGTGGCCTTTAATGATCCCAACCAAAAACTGTATACCAGAATTAGATATACAGGTAGGATCAAGTTTGGGGAGGGCAGTGGCTAGGATCCTTCAAAGTAAAGCTCCTGGAGTACATTAGTTTGAGGACTTCATTTTCTTTGAAGACTAGGGCTAAGTACCTCTACTTAAAATTAGTTTTCACTAACCTTTTTTTTTTTTTGCTTTCTCTTCCCATTTTTTTTCTTTCCTGGCCCATTCAATCTATGATAAGGGCACACCTGAATAATAGTATAATAGTTGTTTAAAAAATATATGATTTCAAACTTCAGAGCTAAATTTAGCCAGACCATAATAAACCACTGGTACGAGATGAGAATTGGAAGATCTGAGAAATAGGTTCCAAACAGCTGTACCAACTATAGCACTTAAAGGACGGAAAGTGAGGGAATTCCCACACCAAAACCAATAGGAATTTCCCTTCCCTCCTGAGGTGACAACTGAGCAAGCTAGATCCCTAACATTTCTAGTTAAAGAAAGCTAAATGACAGGCCCTCTCTCACTCCACAAAACATTTCAGGAAGAAATTAAGACTAGCCTAATAGCATAAAATTAAATCATCTTGGAAACTGGCTGCTTCTAACAGGGTACATGACTTACATGTTTCCTTTTTAATCACAAAAAGTGTGACACATGTAACCTATTGCACCAGAAAGAAGCCAATCTATTTAGGATTTTAAAGATCAGGAAATACTTCATTTAGAATAGCACCCGAATGTCAGGTTGTCATATCCAAACAGACAAACGGATTTTTCCCAAAAAAATAAATACTGCAGGACAAGGCCAGTGCTAACCAAACGCCAAAATAAATAAGACTAATTAATACTGGCCCACCCTAATAACTTTCTCGGGCATGCAGACCAGTAGATATCCACAAGGTCAGATATAGGCAAACCGTGCCGAAGAGGCATGAAATGTACTCTTTGTTCGAGACTGCACGGGGCACCAATGGTAACAAGAGACTCCAAGTACGTTTCGGAAACTTGCTTCTTTAATCCATAGTTTAAGTTACGCAAGAATTCGTTTTCTAGTGTGTGTTCAGTGGACGAGAGAAGCTGGAGGTAAGAATCTACTACTAAAGAGACTAGGTTTGGGAAAAATCGGAAATGAAAAGAAGACATAAGTCCGCTCTGAATCAAAAGTCGGAAAACACCCAGTCGAGTGACGAGAAAAGGTGAGGCTGGTAGAAAGGGAAGGGAAGGGCGCGACGGCGCGCGGAGGAGCAGCTGTTGGCCAGGCTTACTGAGGAGTCACGGCCGGGGAGGGAGAGAGGGCGGAGGACCGAAATGCGGGCCGCCTTGGAAAGTCCTGGGGCGGAAGGACGGACTAATTGGCCACCCAAGCCACAGCGCCGACCCGCGAGGCGTCCTCTCTAGAGTTGGCAGCTCGCGGATCGTCGCAGCCGAGCGCGCGTCCTCCCCAGGGGAAGCGAGAGCCGCCGCGCGTCCCGCCCGCCCCAGCCAGCTCGGCCGCGGGATCCCACCCGCCGCGACTGCCTTCCCCTCCCCCTAGGCCGCCCGCCCCCGCTCACTTTAACACGGTTGAGCCCGGCCTCCATCCGGAGCTGTTGAACCACTTTCTTCATAGCGGCGACGCTGGAGGAACCAGACATGGCGCACGCGAAAGCCAGCGCAATGTCGTGGCCTGGGTCGGTTCAGGTCGCGCTCGCGGGCCAGACGCTTGGGCAGCGCGCGGCGGGGGCGGGGCCGACTTGTCTCTAGTTTCCGGTTCTGCTGGCCTAGCGGCGCACCTCGGCGATGCGCGCCCTCCGCCAGGCTTCGGCGTGGCGGCGCCGAGCCTGGGGAGGGGAGGAACGAAGGAGGGGAAGGGGCGGAGCGCGTCGGTGGGCGCGGCGGCTGCGGCAGGCGAGACGAGTTACGCAAGCCTTCCTTGCACTCTCGGGAGAGCCGGCTTGGCACGAGGTAAGGAAAAAGTTGTCGTTAGCGCAGACCCAAGAGGGCTCTGAAGAGGACGTAAGGAAGTCAGAGGGAGTTTCGAAAGGCTGGTGGCGAGAGGCCAGTTTCCTGGCGGGTCTGTCGGCAGGGGCTTAGGAAGGGAAGGGCGAAGCCAGCTGAGGCGTAGAGTATTGAGCCGGCGTGAGTCACCCGTCGCCCGCCACGGTTCGTGTCTCGGTGGCCCGGAGTTTGGCCGGCGCACTCAGTCCGCTTCCACGGCCAGGACCCGGAGCTGTAACGGACCGAGGGCCCGGATGGGCGGCTCCGGACCGAAGCAGGGGCGCTGGTTCGCTGAAGAAAAGAGGATTCTTCAAAGTTTACCTTGTCGCTCCCATTACTTGAATCGGTATTTCTGGAAGGCGTGTAGAGAGCAAGGAGCTGGCTGGATTCCACCTGTCTCCTCTGAAGCCCAAGGAGCTGGGCTGAATATTTACACTGCTCGATCTGTTATCCTTCTCCGATTAACGCTTATTGTATTCTAAAATAAAACTTTGTGTTGCGAATAGTTGTCTTTGTTTCGAGTTGTAATTTGTACTCTTCGCTTGAATATCCCAAGAGTTTTCGTAGAGATAGTAGAGGGCGTAACAAAGAAGTAGGCTCAGCCCACTGCGTCTCACCATGTAAACGTGGTGGTAAGTATGTCACGATTAAGACAATGTCCTGTTTGTGCGCGTGGTATCATCTCAGAGCACTCAGTATTTTTGTATAAACATGAATAATTTCATCATTGTATACTAAGATGTTTTATATTAGTGAGAAAATTGTGTCTAAATTTGCTTTGGGCAACCTAACTTATGGGTTGCTCAGACGTTTATATCAGTTCGCCAGAAATGTACAGTGTAAGTTGTGCACTTAATTGTATACAGGATGGATATATGACTGGAGTTGAACAGGTTTAAAGTCTGGCTCTACCCCCACTTTTCTGCTATCTTGGGCAAACCTGATCTTCCTAAACCCTTGTGTTCATACTCGATTTCAAATGAAATAATAAAGTTCTAGATTGTTTTGAGAGTGAAGTAACAATATGGGTGTAAAAATATTGAAGAATCTCATTAAATATTGTTTGCCTTTTCCCAGCGTCTTTTAAATACCTCCCTTTGTGCCTTGTTGACTATTCTTTTGCTTCAATGGTCTCCCTAGATACTTTCCTTGAGCTGCTTATCCAACTCTAATTGCCGCAAGGGCTCGATCTTTTTGCATTAGGTGCATTCATTTGTTTTGGGCAGCCAGGACTTCGAGGTCGGTCCAACACTGATCCATCAGGAATGACAAAGGGATTTTATGAATACAAATGTGGTTCTTTGCTGTTACTTTAGAAGGAATGACAGGATCTAAATACCCTTATCTGAAGATGCTTTGTGACCAGAATGTTACTTTGAAGGAATAGTACAGTTGAAGTCCCGTATCTCATACTATAGTATAGATCTACTGAGTATGATATCTATTAGGTATCTATGAGTACTATTAGTATTACATACTAGTATCTATGAGTACTCGGTACTCTAGTAAGTACTCTTCATACTTAATCATGAAATGTTATGCTGGAAGATGATTCAGAGAATAACCCGCCGCACGCTGTCCAATTTTTTTTTTTTTTCATTGTATTTATTTAATGAAATGACACGAACCAGTCTTTCTTCTGTGAGGAAGAGTGTGAACAATAAGTAAAGTCGCTCATATTGTGGTTTTAGGCCTAAAAGAGTCTCGAGAAAAAGTTTGTTTTTTTGTTACCACTGTTTGGAACTCAACTGGAGTTGCTATCTCAAACACCAGGATTGTATTTTTTATAGTTGTATTTAAAGATCATTAGATGAGGAAAGAAGAAAAACATTGAGTTCACCTTTAATTCAGTTGGCATCTGAAGTGATTTGATTAATAGAAATATAAGCGTTCGATGATGGTAGTGTTCTCCTGGAACAAACCTTTAGATTTAGGAATGTCTTTGACTCCACATGACTAAACTTTAAAAACCTACATCATATCTGTATGTATGTATGTATGATGATGTTTATATTTCAGATGGTTAAAGACAGGCCTGTGTAAAATAGTTTGGTGCCAAGGTGGAATCGTATAAAATAAATGGCAAGAAACCAAACAAGGATTGTCATTTTGTTTGTCAGGAAAGCATTGTCAATTAATTTACCTGGAATCTCACTTATTCTGCTTAGTACTGTAATCTTGACTAGGTTTTCATTTCATAAAGCTTCTAAATTCAGTATTTAAATTAGTAAAAATATTTTAAGATTCATGTGCCTTACTTTTGTGGTTAAAGTGCACCTCTTAAAGGGAGCTTCACAATTCAGATTTCTTTTCAAAGGATGAGCTTACAATTCTGTTATCTATAGTGGTTAAAGATATTGAAGTTTGAAGATGACTTGACTATGGTTATGCTAGTTTTGTGAATGAGAAAATGTCCTGAGACTCATGTAACCTGATTCTCCTGGATCATAACTTCAATGCTTTGATGATTTAAGATCAGGAGTTCTATCAAGAAAAACTTTCCATCATCTGGATGAGTTGACTATTCTGATTTCTTTTTTCTAGAGTAAAAATCCTGTCACGTTTACATTCTTGACCAATCAAGTATCAATCATTTAGAGCTGCAAAGTATAAGTCACTTATTTAGAATAATCAACTGTGTAGTAGTGCAGTTACCTTAGGGCAACAGTAAGAGATTAGACCAATGAACAGTCATTACAGGTTGTATTAACTGTATAGACTAGAACCTCGCTTTTCTGGTTTCGAACTCCTCTGGTTACCTATGTGTGAGATGCTGTATTTTTTATTTAACATAGCCCATGCAGGTTCTAATTTTAAGTGTTATTTACAGTTTATTTGCATTTCTAAAGGTCTATCGAGCATCGTTGTATGCCACTTGTCAAATTGAAGAGGAAATAAAACTTACGTTCCTTCATTTCTAGTACCAGAGTATTAGTGAGTCATAAGGCTTGATTTTCGCTCTGCTGCAACTCAAAATATTTGGAATACAGGAAAAGCATGGTAGCTAATCTTTTGAAGTAAGATAGATCAGACTGGAAAATAGATGTTATAGCTCCTAACAGTATGCCTCTCAAATCATGTATGACTATCATTCATTCTGTATGGGTTTCCTACTGAGCCAGATGTGCCTGGTGCTTTATGCAGTACCTCACTTTTAGACAGCCAGTACCAACTGATAGAACATTGTTGCAAGATAAGTTGATTTTCACTCTGGCAGGAGGATGGTATAGAAAATTATGCAATAAATAAAAGATTAAAGGAATTGTAGTCACTTTCTTGATCATTGGTATCCGAGATCTACTTTTGTTGAACTTTGTTGGCATTATATTTCTTCATTACTAATTAGAAATAGGTTAAGATTTGAAACCAAATGTTATATTAGATTTCTATATGAAATGGTGATTTGTTTTTAGGAATTAATTACAGATTCTAGCATGTATACAGTTTTATTAGCCTCTCTGGTTGATAACAAGAGACTTTGCTCAAGATCTCAACAATGGGAGTGATTTTAGTTAAAGATATCATAAGCAATAGTGAGGCAGTATCCATGGAATCAAGAACAATGTCACTGCAATGCAAACTGAAAGTAGATCAAGCTAGGACTCACAGCAAGGTTTTTGACTTTCTCTTTAGTGCTTAGCAGTAAACATGACTCAGCTATGTATCTCTCAGTTTGCTCTTCACTCCAGTTTCTTAGTCTTTTCTTGTTTATATTTTCTCTTGTTGATATTTAGGTTTTTCATAACATGACTGTTCATGGCTATGATATCTATCAATGACTTCCTTTTGTATTCTTTGCTTCAATGTCTCTATACTTTGCCTTGAGTCTTATACCAACTCAATTCCCAATCATCTTTTACAGTTAGCCTTCATTTATTCTGGCCAGCCAGGATTCGTTCAACACTGCCCATCAGAATGACAAAGGGTTTTATAATAAGGTAAAAACGTGGTCTTTGTGTTACTTAGAAGGACATAGTACAGGTTAAATAGTCCCTTATCTGACCCATGCTTGACCAGAGAATGTACTTTAGAAGGAATGGATCAGGTTTGCGTTATATGTCCTTATTGAAGGCTTGGGGACCAGAGAGTGTAGATACAAGGATTTTCAGTCTCACAGATTTTGCCTTCGGGCCTACCCCGCCCCCGCCCTCTACCAGGTTGAACAGGCCGTATCCAAAGTCTAAATGTTCTGTAAGCATTTCTTTGTGTGTCATTCAAGGTTCAGAGAAATCGTTCAGATTTTGAGCATGTCAGGGGTATTTAGGATTGTATTAGGTATCTCACCTGTATAGCAGGCGAGTTGACTGTAGCAACATAATTTTGGTGACCTGTCTTGAGTTCTTAATAAATTGGTTCTGGGCTAGGCGTACGGTAGCTCACCCGTATAATCTAGCACTTTGGGAGCCTAGTTGGGGAAGGTTGTTTCAGGCCAGAGATTCGAGACCAGCAGCACAAGCAAGATCCATCTTATACAAAGGAAACTAGAATATTAGCAGGCGATGGTGTGGGTCATAGTCTTCAGCTCATTGGAAGGCTGGGCAAGAGGATCAGGTGGAGTTTAGATCAGTTTGATCAGCCCAGAATTTGAGATTGCAGTGAGCTAGATGATGACTGATGACCTATGCAGTCTAGCCTAATCAACAAAGCAAGCCTTGTCTCAAAAAAAGTAT